CCGGCGAGGCGCTCACGCACCCGACCAATCCACGTACTTACTTCGTCTAGTACAGGCGTGCTTCGCTGCTGATGTCCTCGTCGCCGTCGTTGAGGAGGTGCGCCGTGTACCGGGCCAGCGGCCGGACACCTCCGACGCAGGCCGACGCCGTTGCTGAAATCCGATCGAGGACGCGGCAGGGACGCGCGTAGGTATTTGTACAGTTTGATCCGCGACGAACCGACCGTTTGTCTGTTTGCTCTTCCACTGGAGCCCCCGCGGGACTCGCACGCGGAGGATCCCTCGCGTTTGCGGAGGGCCGCCATTTCTCGGGGCTGCCTGCGGGGGATCGGAATGCACCGCGAGAGAGTCTTTCGAGAGTGGACGCGCGGAGTTTATCGATTTGCCCGGGACTCTATGAGCGTTTCGCACCCGATACACGCTGTCGGTTTGCCGGGAATCCTTCGCTTGTCTTTCGCTCTCGACGGAGACCGAGATCGAACCGGTGTTCGCGTTCGTGCGTTGGGAACCGAAGGAGATTCGATAAGAACCAAAGGCAGATCGGGATCGACGGTGTGTATCGAGTACTACACGCGGCCTGTTACACGTTTTTCCGGTGGAGACTGTAGATTTCTATGCAACTATGTACAGTTCTTACTGCGGGAAACGCGACACGCTGCGTGTGACGCTCGTGTTGGCCTTAAGATGTTGATACACTGGCGAGTTGTTTGGGGTACTTTCTCTGTCAGCGACTCGGACATGTAGCTGGAATCTGTAAGGGAATTCGATGATCTTCGATGTGTTTGCATGGGAGTCGCTGTTGGGGAAGTATCGCAGGTTTGTCGATAGTCCGCATGGTTGCAGAGACAGGTTTATTTAATTGTTTCAACGCGATTTCGTCGCGCGTGCTGAGGTTTTCGGGAGACGGTCGATGGCGTCCCGCGGACACGAGTCTCGATCGTCCTGTTTCGCGAATGATGGAGTGAAAACTTTCGTTGCCCATTATTCGCGGGCCGCTGCGTGCGAGGTAATTGTTTAATGGGCTGCTCGGAGGGGCACGATGTTCCGAGTGATCGGAGCATTGTTCCGATCGAGCATCGTTCTGTCGTTCGGTACTTTCCGCGAAACGGATACATGCATATTACATTAACGCGTGTGTTTGATGGCCGATTGAAACTTCGCTCCGTTCCAATCACGCACGCCGGCCGTTGATATCGATCTGTCGATTCGGGACGAGCGGAATCGGTGAAAGACACGTCTATACGGATATAGAGTTTTGTATGTCCTTCCTTCGGCAATCGTTCGATCGCTCGGGAAAATTCGTATTTAATCGTACGAACTCGGAGAATCTTATTCAGAATTCTATTCGGTGGTTCTCTTATCTTTCGCAACGTGGCGACACTCAAATTAACACTAATTCATGTAAAAATTGTGACAGTAGATTATTTTCAGTTTCTTCAGACGTTCATTATAGTATTCAAATGGAACTATTTATTTTCAAGATCATTTCAAATATTGAACGCTTTTAAGATATCAATTCAACAGTCATTTTGACTGGTACGGTAGTTCTAGTGTTAAAATCACGAAGCATAGAATACTTTAACTTACCAGCACTCTAGTTTCTTCGCTCGATCGCAAACAAAACGGTGAATCAAGAATTTCTCTAATGAAACCTCTCCTAATATCAGAACTACCAAGTATTTAACACGATTAACTCGAATCCCTATAAAAATTAACATCTTTCGGTTTCTTCAGATTCACTATAGTATTCGAACAATTTCCAAGATCACTTCAAACATTCAATGCTTCTAAGATAACAATTCTAAAAACAATCGAAGTCAGCCAGTTTCGACTAGTGTCAAAACTAATCAACAGCTTTCAGTTTCTTCAGATTCACTATAGTATTCAAATGCAACAATCCCTAGATCACTTCAAACATTCAATGCTTCTAACACACCAACAACTCTAAAAACAGTCGAAACCGACCAGTTTCGATTAGTAGTATCAAAACCAATGAATACCTTGAAACGATACTCGTGTCCGAGTGAACCTCCATCGACCCTCGAAAGGATCAGCCGCGCAGGTCGGTGATCGAGTCATTATTTTTACGTACTATCCGGCGAGGACGACCTTACTTCTCCCACGGTGAATGTATATTCTGTAAACTATCGAAGCGGAGTGGTAACATTAGGGAAAATGGCAGTCAATGAGGACACAGTTTCGATGATTATTCTCGTCGCGCATACACGCGGACACGTTAGTCGCTCGCTCCTTCGATTCGCACGGGCCACGACTGTCCCCGCGTGATTTTCCGGCGACGTCGGCCTAGCTTCGTGGATCCCCATCGGTCACGGAGTGTCGTGACGCTCGAGGGTTTCGATCACCGTCGGGGAACAACCATTCCGCGGCCGTGCCGCCTCGTGAAATTCACCGAGGCCCCGATCGATCGTAACGGCCGGCAGTTTCGCCTCCTCGTATCGTTATTTATTCTTTTCCCTGCCCCTGTTCCGCGCGCCGACCAGACGGAATTTCACGACGCGCGCACCCCGGCCGACCGACCGACCCGTTCCTCACCTTCCATTTTAGAGATTATGCACGCGAGCGACGCGACCCCGCTGTGATTGTTTTCGCGCAACAAAGGAACAAAGTTCTTCTGTCGCGCGAGAGGTTAACACGTTAAGCGCCACGGAAATCTTTTCCGTAGAGTTTTTCGTTTGTAGGAAAGCGGGAGCTATTGACACTAGAACTACCGTGTTAACACTTTGCACTCGAAAATTTCGCAATGGAAACATTTTCTGACGAGATATAGGTCATATTGTTTGAAACTAAGCAACAGAGGTGTTTTATTGAAATATTTCACGTATCAAGCTTTAATTTGAAATATTAAATATTCAGGTTCATAGTTTTGTATCGAATCATGTGAGTCACCTCGAGTGCAAAGGTTAATACGATTAACATTCAATTCCAAAAACTGTAACAGATTATTTTCAGTTTCAGTAGTCAAAGTATTTATTTTCAAAATCATTTCGAATATTCAATGCTTCGAAGATATCGATAATTGCTGAACAAAAAAATCGGAACGTGATTTAGTACAGTACTTGCAATTATTTGGCACAATCTTTGCGTTACACTACTATCAATTTAGTTACGTTACTAAAGATTTTCATTTCGGTTATCTTGCATGTTATTTCCTAGTCATTCAGAAGCGTCAGTCACCAATGACACGATGCTTAACGTGTTAAGAGAACTTCACGTCTTCCTCCAAAATGCGCATCGACGGCGCAACGGGATCGCGTCGCTCGCGCGCACAGGCGGTTAGACCGAATTCTATTCTATTCTACCGATCTCGGTAGCTCACGAGTCACCGGCGCGTTTTTCTTCTATCGAAACAGTCCCCGCGGCTTGTCGCAAAATTCCCGTTCCAATTAAACCGCGGGCTAACTTGTTTTCGGTGACACCGGCGCTGAAAATAATTGGAGGGTCGTCTTTGAATCGTGTTATCCTCGAGCGGTGTGTCGATCGTCCCGCCAAGGAGTTTAACGAGACTCTCGAGCACCCTACAATTATTTCGAGGATAGTCCCTTTTTCGAATTGTGCTTTGCGTTTCGATCGAGTATCGTGCATTAGGTTCGCCGAACAGTCTTCTCGCGTTTCGAAATGAAGTTCCACCGAGAACTTCGCTAGAATCAATTGAATTCCGTCGAACGACGACCGATTCATCAGAGAGATTTCTATTTTCTTTTAGTTCGTCTATTCGCAATGTTTATCAGTACTTCGTAGCGTTAGCCTCGTTATAAATTACACCGGGAGGAGCGTAGCGATGAGATTTCTAGACGAACGGGGAATATTTCCTCCATAGAAACGCTCTCGGTTCGTTTTCCGTCGATTCGGAGCGCGCTCGCAAGGGCCCCCGGGCCGAGCGCGAAAGAATCGCAGTATTGTAAGTTATTTAGCGATTAATTTCCCCCGAACGACGCGAATTCACTCGCGCAGCATTTAATCCCGGACGCGCGCTGTTGCCCCGAAGTTTGGATTTGCCCGTTAACGAGAGAAAAAATCGTTTCCGGGACCTCGTTGTCCCGCGCTCGGAATCGACCGCGGCGATTGCGCGGGAATTGGTCACAAAAGGCTCCGGCCGGTCCGCTGTATTTGCGTTTAATTAATATTTTCATTTACCATTAACCTCTCGCTCGACATGTCGCCCGCGACTTCGGGAAACATCGCCGGCGATCGGACCTTTTCAGCGGTCCGTTCGGCCGTGCGCCGAACGAAAGGGAACATTCCCGCGGTTATTCCTTCTTGATGAACGAACTATCCCGGCGTTACGCTAGAAACGCGCCCGAATTAATATCGTTCGATCGTGACGCGCCGACGGGGGCAACGCCCGCTGCGAGACGTCCGGCGAAATTAATTAAAGCCCATAAAATTCCGTTTCATCGGATGATGGAAACACGCCGATCGCGATTCAATTCGGTTCGTATAATTTACCGATCTGCTCGCTCGCGGCGGATTATTTCCGTTGGATTTTTCCCGGGCGCCTCGACGATCCGGCAATGGAACGCTAGATTCACGGAGAATTTTCACTATACTTCGTTCTATTCTAGGTAAATGGATGTTTAGACCTCGGAATTAGAACCTCGGCGATTCTATAATTACGGTTCGAGACGATCGATACGATTTTTCATCGAACGCTTGTAGAATTCATCCATCGATTCACCGACACTCAGTACACTTTGCTCTATTGTTCCCAGGAAACTAGATGTTTGTAGATCTCGGAAATTAGAGCTCTGGGAATTACGATATAATTCGCGTTTATGGTATGATTCGTTCGGTATCGATACGAACTTTTATCGAACGCTTATAGAATTCAGTATCCATCGATTCACCGACATTTTCAGTAAACTTTGCTCTATTGTTCCCAGGAAACTAGATGTTTCTAGATCTCGGAAA